GGGAGGGAGGTGGGGACTCGTCATCGACACATTGCGCGACTCTCACCTGGCAAAACTTTTTCCCACTGGACACCGAAAACATATGTTCCTGCTTTGTACACTGTGCACATGGACTCACACTTGTCCCGAACGCAAAGGAAAGCCTGGAATTTCTTGTACAAGTCATCGTTAAATACGCATTTGTGCTTCGGTACGTTGCAGACTGACCCACTGTTTGTGTTCTCGCTCCTTCTGAGTGCAGAGACACATGTACAGACCCTGTTTGGTCACGCTACACACAGCAACCTACATTCGGTTTGTCTTAATCGACAAACCGAATGCATTCAAATTAACATAATCGATGAAATTCTTAATGATCAATTATCGATTAATCATGCCCATCCCTAGTCTAAACAAAAGATACTTCTGATAAAATATTTAATCGTTTTTACCTGCAAGCGTTCTCGTGCAAACAGGCCCTCAAAGTAGCTTCTTCAGCTCGGTCAGGGTTAAGTTGGTAAGTTAAAATCTGGTCTGAAGGGAGTGACACTAACACACCCAGTACAGTAAAGACCATCTGTTTTTAGTTACGTCCATCGAACTAAGGTGTGATGGTGAGTCTGTCCACTTCGGTCCAGTCCAGACAGAATTCAAGCTTCTTTTGCTAAACACTCATACTATAGCTTAATTGTTCAAGTCCTTGAGGAGAACTTGAAGTGACTCCTTGTCTTTCTGACATTCTTGCCCCACATAAGTTTCGTGTTAGGAGTGGGCTGGGCCTTTTCCACTGCCCCCCACATGGAACACTCTAACGCAAAACACATGGTGAGACGACAAACGCAACGCAACAGGAAAACATGTCAATAATCCTCACATGTATTCGCTTTGGTAATTTAAGAAAACCAATGTTGCGCTGTACGGCTTTAAGGGTCTTGTTTCAAAACGCCCAAAGATATGCGCTGCGATGTGAATAGTAAATCTTTGCACCATGACAAAGCTGAAGATGCACAATTGAAATTCCAGACTTAACCCACAAAGGGAATAGTCTGAATACAGTCTGGGGCAGTGGCTCCCAAACTGGTCCACGCAGGCACCATGCATACTAGTGCTGTTAAAGTGTGCAAAACTGGTTTAGATCAGTGGTCCTCAACCTTTATAGCTCCACGAACCGGTTTTATGTCTGGGAATATTTCGAGGACCAGGGGCTGCAGCACGGTATGGTTTAGTAATAGTTTAGTCCTGGTTTAGCCCTGTTTTAGTCCTGGTTTTAAACCTGGTTTTAGTTCTGGTTTAGTCCTGGTTAAATCCTATTTTATTCCTGGTTTAGTCTTGGTTTTAGACCTGATTTAGACTTGGTTTTAGTCCTGGTTTAGTCTTGGTTTTAGACCTGATTTAGACTTGGTTTTAGTCTTGGTTTAGTCCTGGTTTTGACCTGGTTTAGTCCAGATTTTAGTCCTGGTTTAGTCCTGGTTTTGACCTGGTTTAGTCCAGATTTTAGTCCTGGTTTAGTCCTGGTTTAGTTCAGATTTTAATCCTGGTTTAGTCCTGGTTTAGTTCAGATTTTAATCCTGGTTTAGTCCTGGTTTTGACCTGGTGTAGATCTGGTTTTAGCACTGGTTTAGACCTGGTTTAAATTCTGATTTAAGTTCTGGTTTTAGTCCTGGTTTAGTCCTGGTTTTAGTCCTGCTTTAAACCTGGTTTAGTCCTAGTTTTAGTCCTGGTTTTAGACCTGGTTTAGACCTGGTTTACTCCTGGTTTAGACCTGGTTTAGTCCTGGTTTTAGTCTTGGATTAGTCCTGGCTAAATCCTGTATTAGTCCAGTTTTAGTCCTGGTTTTAGACCTGGTTTAGACCTGGTTTACTCCTGGTTTTAGTCTTGGTTTAGTCCTGGCTAAATCCTGTATTAGTCCAGTTTTAGTCCTGGTTTTAGACCTGGTTTAGACCTGGTTTACTCCTGGTTTTAGTCTTGGTTTAGTCCTGGCTAAATCCTGTATTAGTCCAGTTTTAGTCCTGGTTTAGACCTGGTTTTGTCCTGGTTTAGTTCAGGTTTAGAGTTGTGTATGGGAGGGGAGATTTCTGTTTTCATGGCACGGTACCAAATGACCCACGGACCTGTACCTGTCCGCGGCCCGGGGTTTGCAGACCCCTGGTTCACATCATTTGTACTGATTCAAGAAAACATACTGTGCTTATGTCTGCTGTATAGTTATTATCTATGACACCTGTGGAGCAGTCTGTTATAATTTGCACATTTTAAAGTGCAACATTCATCTAAAACGATTTAACAAAAGAAACAAGTCCACTGACTTCTGCGTTAGAAAACTACGGTGCCCAGTGGGAGCTGACATCACCGTAACATCATCACAATAAAGAGTCAGCATCTCTGCACATCACACTAGTGAGTAGCAGAATTTTTTTGCATGTACCAAAATGAATATGCTGCTGAATCCTACGTAAAATTGGAGAACAAAGTTAACAACAGAGCAGTGGGCATGTGCTGGTGAGGAAATCAGCTGGAAAGTGCCCCTGGCTGGAAAGTGCCTGAATTGTACCCTTTATGAAACTAAGCTACATAATCTATATACATATACATTAAAAAAAAACAAAAAAAACATTCTGTGACCCTGTGGCATTTAAACGCACTGCCAATGTGGGTAATGTCTGTATTCGATGGTGGTGGTGAGAACGGGGACTGATCAACAAAATGGAAACTAGAGAATTTGTGATAAAAGTATACTCAAACATGCACAAATCACTCCAAATACAACTGTGGGTGAGTAAATGGTGAGAGGAAACAACTATAACATCGTTGAAAGCTAGAGATGTAACGATATCCAAATCTCATGGTACGATATTATCACAATATGCATCTCAGGGTACGATATTTACTGTGATATTTTGGAGGGACTAATGGAATTGTAGCTACGATACTTTTCGCTTTTAAAATACCTTGACAAGACTTGGTGCAAAACATTATCATATCATAACCCTAAGAATTAAAGTAAAAAAAAAACAACAACATATTTCTTCATGTTGTCTGCACTGAAATGGATCATGGGATATGTAGTTCCCGATGTTTATAAGCTGTTGCTACTATAAACAATGCATTTCAGCAAAGGAACTTGTGATTCAATATATTGTGACACCTCTTGATATTATTGTGAAACTTTGGATTATATGATAACATGATACTTCGGTTACTGTTACATCCCTTTTGAAAGCTTTAAAAAGTCAATTTTGCTGAATAAATCAGATTTAAAATGAAGTTTAAAATCCTTCTTAAAGGTGCATTGTGTAACTTTTCTGGTGGAGGGTCTGTCATCTGCTTGTTTCTATGGATATGTCACTGCTCTGCCTGGAATGTTCCACAGCATGACATTAAACTGCTCTACCTTACATGGATTCAATCACAGATGTTTATAGCTAAAAATACCTAGAAAAACAAACATTCTGACTGTGAGCGGGGTCGCCTCTCCACAGATCTGACCTGTAACTTGGTCTGGTTTGGTCTCCATGAAGCTAGAAAGTAGGGATGTAACAATAACAGAAATATCGTGATATTGTATCGTCAAAGTTCTTACAATAATATGGACCATCACAATATCGAATTACAAGTCGCTTTGCTTAAATGAAGAGTTATGGTGCAGCAAAAAAGACACAGAGAACTACATAGACCATGATCCTTTGCTCCATTTCAGTGCAGAGTCAGACGACAAGAAGAAATAACAGTTCTAACACTTTTAAGTCTTAGTTCTTTGGATTAAGTCTTGTCAAGGCTTTTTAAGAGGAAAAAGTAGAATATTAACAGTTTTATTAGCTCCACAAAATATCGCAATAAATATCATATCGTGAATTGTATATCGTGAAAATATCGTACCGAGAGATTTGGATATCGTTACATTTCTAATCGTGAGCCTCCCCACCATATCGTGAGCTTTCCCACAATATCGCAATAAATATCGTACCGTGAGAATCATACTGTGACTATATCGTAACATTTTAGACAAAGCAATAACATGTCCATAAAGAAAAGCATTTGACGGACCCTCCACTAGAAAAGTTACACAATGCACCTTTAAGTTCTTAGGAAACTTTTTGGTTGGACTTGCTCTGACCCCTTTCTGCACGGGCTAAATTAATAAAGTCACCGAGTTCTCCGGTTGCGGCCTGACTTGGTTAAAACGGAAAAATATGTTGGCATCGGATTGTCTCGGAACATCTGTAAATAATGCTGCTTTTCTTTCTAGGAGCACAACTCGACGCGGAACTTATGCACACGTAATTACAGGGTTGCAACAGCTTTAGTTCACTTGAGCGCATGTGACTAGTTTACAAACACCACAGGAGCTCGGGGTCAGAGGTCGCACGGATCAAGGCAGTGGAGACAATAGCTTCGTTTAAATCCTTGACCTTTTTCGAATCAAAACCAACTCGGAAAAAGAAGAAAGGAACAAAAAATACAATAAAAATAAACAAAATTAGGAACAAATCGAACATGGACTGGTTTAAATCCTCTATAAACCTTGTTAAAGTAAGAATTAAACAAAAGACCAGACCTTTTTGACCTGGATTTAACTTAGACTAAACTAAATAGTCTAAATTTGAAGCCAGGATCGAACCACAACAGGTAGCTGCACCACATTTTGAGAAACACTACATTTACTTTATAAAATACAAGATTTAAAGTTGAAAATGGCAAAAAATATGAGTTGAAACGTTAAAATGCAAAAGTTATACAGCCAATGTTGGATATTGATGCATTTTGAGGAAGAAAAGCTTTAAAGACACACTTAAATGACGCTTACTTTTATTTACAGTAGACATTTATTTAAAAAAAACGTGGTTGAAATGCACTCTGGGAGAATTATTATCCTCTGACTTTCCAACCTGTAATCTGACACTCTCTTTGTTATTACTTTAGCCGACAGGAAAGGGGCGAAGAGCCGCACGATCGCTCAGCTAAACTCTAAATTACGAATGCCCCAAAAAGTACGACAGACGTAAACCGTAAAGTTGTCTTACGTAGTGCTTGCTCGGCGTCCTTCTCTTCTGCACATCTTGCACTGTTACTTCGTGCACCGTGCGCCGTGGCATGATGTTCCCCTCCTTTGGTTCGTATCCACAGCGAAGCTAAGGGTAGTCGGGACGAATCAAATCCCACCAAGAAACTTTACGTCGTGGCGCGTTTTGGTCATCCGCACCCGGGTTTAAGCGATTCGACAAGCGCGCGTAATCCCCACTTGACGGTTCCGACGCAGCATTCGGCCACGTAGAAGCGAAAATAGTTGTTCTTTTTCCTCTCTCCTGCTCTCCTCTCTCCTACAGCGCTGCGTCCCGTCCCGATGAGTGCTCCGACCGAACTACCAGCCTATCCCAGCTCGCCTACTCCCCTCTCGGACGCGCTTCCATTCCGCTCCACGCACGGACCACCCTCCTCCAGCGTCACAGCAAACCACAGGCGCGTATTCACATTCATTACCTACTTCAAATGCTGACTATCCTGACCGTAACCTATTTATACAAAGAGGGAAATTAACTGAGAGATGAGTTTACGCTGGGGTACTTTGTCGCGGAGGGCTTTACGTTTAATACCACGCTGTAAAGTAAAGCGCAAGTAAATTTTAACTCAAAAGTTCTTTACTACTTTTACTTCATTGCGTTCCACCAGTGGGTATAATGTATTCTGTCATTACTCCTTTATGACCAGATTTGACTCTAACGAACTTCACCTGAACTTGATCCAAGCTTTCAGCCAGTGTTGCGCATGCGTAATTGGTTTAATTCAACAAAAAGCGCGTTATTACTTAGTTGGAGGTTATTTTGAAGTTTATCTGTACCATATTTTCCTCAACACTCAGTTTTCTTGCAGTGTGTTACTAAATGGCTCCATCTTGTGGCCACATGTACTCATTGCTCGTGCTCGTGGATTCTCTTGGGGAAAATATTACATCACATTCTATCAAATAGGGAATGTGAAAAGTAAAAGTATGTAGCCTGTGTCTTTACTGTTTAAAAAAGTACTACAATCACAACTGAACCTGGGTTAATGATTGACTGCGAGTGCTGGGGTTTTGGTAGTGAGAATTCAGATCTGAAAGTCCTTTTAGGTTTAACAACTCTATTTCATCATTGAATCTGGCAACCCAAATGAGAGAATCTTTGAGGCTTTCTAATTTGATCATCAGGAGAACCATCCATCCATTTTCTTATCCGGGGCCGGGTCACGGGGGCAGCAGTCTAAGCAGGGACTCCCAGACTTCCTTCACTCCAGACACTTCCTCCAGCTCCTCCGGGGGGACCCCGAGGTGTTCCCAGGCCAGCCCAGAGACATAGTCCGTCCACTGTGTCCTGGGTCTTCCCTGAGGCCTCCTCATGGTCGGGAGGCACACAGGAGGCATCAGAACAGGTGCCCGAGCCACCTCAACTGCTCCTCTCGACGTGGAGGAGCAGCGGCGCTACGCCGAGCTCCTCCTGTGTGACCGAGCTCCTTACCCTATCTCTACGGGAGGATCAAAACACCAGATTATAATGTAAATAACTTGACCATCATGTCCAATGTTTTTGTGACTAAGATTAAATCAGGTCGGTAGCTAAAAATTACAATATATTTCATTTGAACATGCAGTTCTACTTTTTTCTACCTGTTTGCTTTTTGTTGACACAGATAAGTCAGGATTCTGAAATTTAAACTCAGAATCTTACAGTAGCATGGCACCAATTACTACAAACAAATATACACATTTCTTCTTATTTTATTTATTTTATAAGCAATATAAAAATAAGAAAAAGAGCATACATTTCCTTTAAAGATGTAATGTGGCAATACAACTGCTCCACTGTGTTTTTAAACTCCACATACCTTCACTAGAATCATGTGGATGATTTCAGCCTTGGAGTTGTCAACTCAAAGATAAAAGTTAGCTGTTCACTTGAAAACTACTGCTTCATGATGTCACAAGGTGGACCAGAACATTTTGAGTTTTGGAGATATGACAGACTAAATAATAAACGATTACATGTTTGAATGAAACAAAACACAACTCCAGGTGTGTTTTTGAAAAGGTAACAATACTATAACATGACTTTGAGCTCACAAGAATCAGTTTTGTGTAATACTGGAGATGAAAAGATGTTCACAGGAAAGCAGTGGGGTCTGATCCGTCACACATCTGCACTTTGATGTGAGAGGTGATTCCAGAGAAGCGGTCCTGCAGCGGGAGCGTGTACCCCACAGCGCCCCCTCTGGTCACTGAGCCCATGTACTGGTACGGCCGCATGTTCAAGAGCTTCACACAGTGCACTGGAAACAAGAACAGCACAAGGACACATTAGATAGACATATCCAGATCTTCCACCTGCCTGTCTATTCTCAAAGTCTAAAAGTAGAGCACTTGAATGTTGCAGCTGCAGCATTTGCCACAGTGCACGGCCCAGTCCACCCACTCTCCTGCTGTGGAGGTTACAGCAGTGGATCCAAGTTGTATTTTATTTCACATTTACAGAGGAATTCACTACTGTCAGTTGGCAATTTTCAGAGGTCAAAGCACCACAGCACAGACACTGCCTCTTGGTGCTGTGGACCGGTGCGAGGGGGAGGACTGTGTGGGACATGTTCCTTCTCTCTTTGCTGTTGAGCCACAGAGAGCAGGGAGGGATGTAAGCAAGAGGGCTTTACGTGAGTTCTCTCTGAGCCTGCAGTATTGCTGGATTATAATATCTAATAATACAAATTATTAAAACATATGCATACCTGAACATATGAATGAATGAATTTTTATTTGGACAGTAACACATAGAACATGCACAGAAAACAAAAATACATAGATATAATACTTCTTTTCCATACCAATAAACAAAAATAAATATCACTATATCACAAACAGAGATACAAAAACTCTTCATTGCTGTTTGAGCACGAGGAACTTTAAAGTTTAAAAAGCCTCTTAAACTATAGTTGCCTTCCCTTTCACAAAAAAAATAGTTTAATACTTTTTGATAAGTACTTACTTTTAGCTTTATACATTATTTGTGCAGTTTGGTACATAAACAAGTCATTCAAGTAATTTGGCATAAATTTTAGTATGGTCATGAAATTTGACATTGTAAATAGTTCTTATTGCTCTTTTTTGATGTTTTTATTGTGGTTTTATAGTTATTGTCCCAAATTTCTGCACAATATGTTAGACATGGTAAAATCAGTGAACAATAAAGCATGTGTATGTGTATGTGTATGTGTGCATGTGTATAAATATATATAATACATCCTACAGCCCTATATGATAGAATAGCCTGGTATAATCATGTATTATAATGTAGGCTCTTACATAATATTAGGCTACAGTTTATGTTAGAGAGTGCACTTTTAATTCTTAATTCAGAGCTGAATGCTTTTGACAGTAGCCTAGAGATGCCCGTACAGTGCAATTCAACCATAGGATATACACTCATTATGTTTACTCATTTGACCCAAACTGCTCTCAGATCCACAATCACATCTTACAGCAGATCTGGGCATTGTACAGCTCCGAGCCACATACGGCTCTTTGGTTACCTCTGACCGGCCCGTCTAAGATCATTTGGAATTACAAAACAACCATATTTTATAATTGTACCTCATGCATGGACTAAAGCTGTGTTGCTTTTATGTTATAGAGGTGTTTTTTAATGACATTTTTTGTAAGGCAACCTCACTTTTTCATTGCTTAGTCTTAACATAAACTCTTACCAGTCTGAGCAGCTCATCAAAACAATCATATTTACTGCTTTTATAGAGAAATAAAATTAATATCATGCAGAACTGAGTTAAGCATTTTGGCCCGGTGTCCTGATAATTTGAGCTACCTAGTGCTACTGCACTTGTGCACAACTCTCAATCGCTTTTACAGTTTAACAGCTGTCGATTTGAGCTCCCAAGGCAGAAGTAGAGTAACAAGTCACATTTTAAAGTGCTGCAGAATACTTCCTTTAGATGATTGAATAGTTTGGATTTAATAATAGATTTTTTCATTATCATTTTAATTACATCGTGTTTTATTTTGTTTCCATGTGAAGAAAATGTTGTAACTTTGTTCAGAAAGGCACTATATTATAATAGGAAATTCACACTATGGCTTATGATTTTTAATCTAAAGATTTCAGTGTTTCCAGTCATTTCTTTCCCTTCTATAGTGGGAGCCTTACTTGATAGACGATATCGGCCTGTCGAAATGAGCTCCTCTACCCAAATTCATATAAATGAGTGATTAATGATGATTCTACAGTGGGAGCATTATTCAGTGGCCTGTCAATATGTGCTACCTTTAGTCAGAGCCCTATTTGAGCGGAATACAACTGTCCAAATGAACTACCCTTGCATATGTATATAAATGAGTTAAAATTGTACATAACTAAGGTATAAAGTGTGTTCACCGTGTGCAAAAAGCATCAAACTTGTGCCTCTAATCCAAAGAAATATGTTGTCAAACTGGGGAGGTCAGGGTTAGGGTTTGACTTTATTGGCTCTATACAACTGTACACGGAAAAACGTAAAGCTTATTTCGATGGGGCAGCGTGAAACGATAGATGTCACTGTCGATTAAAGCTGCTGGTAGCTCATTTCGACGGGGCAGCCCATTTTGACCAAACACCGGCCCTCCGCAATATTTTGTGTTTCTCATGTGGCCCCATAGAAAAAATAATTGCCCACCGCTGCATTACAGTGTATTCCCTGGTTTAGTCCATTAACAAAAACCGACACGTATGCAGCGTAATGCAATGTAAGTCTCATTTGGAGGTCAGATAGTGAAACAGTCTTTGATCGGGTTGAGCGTGCCCCGGCCCCGGCCCCGGCCCCATCTCCCTGTGTTAGAGGTGAATGGGAGTTCAATAGAGTCCCGACGCTCTCAGTCTAATCCTCATAAGTCAGTGTATTTCTCGTCCACCTACAGCAGAACGTGGCCCCGCCCTCCCAGCGCTCTGCAGCTATAGATTACACAAATGTACTTAACCTTTAAAGTTCAACATGTGGGAGTTTAACATGTTTTATTCTTGAAATCCATGTGAGCTGCGTGAAGCGTTCAAGGACAGAGGGTTCATACTTTATTATCTGAAAGTGTAATTCTCTGTGATTACATTTTATTCAGTGTATTTCCCCATCCAACATTGTAGTAGTAGTTAGTTAAAGGCGTGCAAACTTATTTTTATTCTTATTAAAAAACATAGAAAACAGAATTAGCTCATTTTAAAGTTAGGTTTGTAGTGGTTATGCATTCCGAGCATTCTAGTTATTCACCGCAAAAGGGTTAAAAATGCTTAGCACTGCTTTCAGAGGCCAGAGCAGAGAGTTTTGCCATTATGGTAATGAACAACCAACACGCTAACCACGCACTTCCTGATTATCGGACAGTAATCCGACAGTAAAAAATGCTGCTTATACAATATATCTGTATTGGAGGAAGACACATTTTACTCAGATACATGGAAAAATTGGGCCCTTTATTATTATTATATTATATTATAATTATTTATTATTATATTTTATTTTGGAATTTACAAATCTCTACTGTACTATGCATTCCTATTT